GTACTGACCTTGACACACAGTCAGGAGGATCACTTCCTGTTTATGAGTTTCTTGTCACATGACAACAAAATGGCTTCCTGCATGTTGTTTGCATCTAACCTTAATTTGAGGTTTTCAGATATAAATAACATCTTAGAATAAATTTTTTTTTTAAATAAATACTGCAATATAAAAAAAACTATAAAAAGTTTTACAAAATTATGTATTTTACATCACCGCAATCTCGAACTATATATTTAAATTTTTATTCAGTAATGTGTTATTTACATACATCACACAGTTTTTACATAAATTTTTGAATACGACAGATTTTAATCATTTATTAGCTCTTACAGCCACAGAACTTCTTCACAGGTTTAATTTCTTCAGAAACCCAATTTAACCCTCAAACGGAATCTTCAGCGTCGGGACCCAACCGAAATGAAGTGTTTTTCCCCCAACCACGAGTAAAGAAGGATTCAGTGACAGATTCTGGATAAAAAGGTCTATCGGCACAGATGTACCAATCAAGCAGTGCCAATCAGCCCTTAAGAGTGATATAATTATCAGGTCAGGAGGGGAAAGACCGCTGAAAGAAAGACACCACCTTTCCTCCAGCCCCCCCACTCACTGCCCACCATTATACCCAAGCAACAACAGGCCAATTTGTCCATGAGGCCCTTGTACCCACACTCCCTGCAGAGTTATTTAGCTCCTCTCCTGCTCTTCAATGGCAGGTACTGATTAGAGGGGCTGCAATCTGCCTCCCTGTTCCCTTTAAAAAAAAAGAAAGAAAAACTAGCCCCCTTCATCCTGGCAATCTTTAATCTGATTACAGGCTTTCTAGGGCTTTTCAGACAAGACCGGCCATGTAGGACAATGGCAGGCCAAGTGGTTCTACACACAGCCTCTGAGCTATGTGATCCAAGTGTGGATCTCTGGGCGCTCTAACTCCGCTGGCAGTTCTTTTGAGAGTAAACTAAGGCTTGGTCGGCCCACCTGCCCGCCCGCTCCCCTTCACACAGGGGATTAACCAGAACATCTCTGTTACAGGAGCGACCCCCCCCCTGCAGACTTGTTTGATTAGAGAGGAGAAGAGATTTGACCCCGGCTCTCCTGCTTTCAGCCGCTCAGCTCCATGCGGCGGTAGATCCTCAGCTCCGGGCCCCACCCCCCTTTTCCTCATCCCCATGGGAAAGCTGCTTGGAATCAGTGCTGCAGTCCGTCTCGTTTATACCTTGTAATCCCTTAAACCTGAGTGAGCTGTTGTGAATCTGCCCTGATGCATTTTTCTTCTCGTTTGACTTGCCCTTGCAGAACATAGACTCTTAAAAATAAAGCCTGGCACTGATGGTTCCATGAAGAGCCTGTAACATCCATGGAACCTTTCTATGACACAAAAGCTTCTTTAAAGTGGAAAAAGGTTCTGTAGATTATTACAATGTTCTTCACGCTAAGAATAAAAATGGTTGTTTTAAGAACTTTGAGGAGCCTAGGATGGTTCAATTATGGTTCGCTTTTTCTAGCCTTTATTTTTAAGAGTGTAGATTTTTATCCCCTTGCTTTAAAGGGGTCATATGATGCTGTTTTAAAGATCATTATTTTGTGTATTTGGTATAGCAGAATATGTTGACATGCTTTAATGTTCAAAAAACACATTATTTTTCAAATACTGTACATTATTGTAGGTCCTCTATGCCCTTGCACAAATTCGAACATCTGGGTTGTGCTGTTCTGTTGTAAATAAATCTTAACCAATGATTCCTAATTGCATCTACTTCCGGAAGGCCAAATAAAGTGCTTTTGCTTTCGCACTGAAACAGCGTCTCCCTGACATGACTGCATCAACACTGCTGCTGTTCCTGAAACCAAGCCTTCTTTCACTGCGTGCACATTTGGGCGGCATTATACTAATATTTCCACATCGTGACGTAGATATGTGGGGGCGTGTTAGAACGAGCCGTTTTAGGTAGGCGTGGTTGACTCTTAACTTTTATAAAGAATATCTCTTTGGATTTGAGACTTTAGTCTTTGCAACTTTACAGATCTTCTTTATGCACCAAGAGCTTGTAACACTCCAAAGAGAAAGGAAAAACTGAAATCGCATCATATGACCCCTTTAATTTATTAATTTTTTTTAGAGTGCAGACCTTTCTGTAATTCTAAGAGTGTAGACAGGAAATGAATGCATTTTATGTAAAGAACACTGGAGATTTTGGTGGTGGGGTTGGAAATTTTATAAAAAGGTGGTGAGTTTATTTTAATGGTAAAAAAGCGAAAAAAAGCCACAATCTATGTCAAACTGAATAGAAAAATAATGTCAAATAAACAAAAAGACAAGCAAAAAGTATGGTATGATTTTCATATGTTCAAACCGAGCAACTGGGTTGTTTTGACCCAGCGGTTAGGTTAAATGTTTAACCCAACCTTCTGAGTAGTAACCCATCCACTGGGTCCGGGTTTGTCCATATTTTACCCAGCGCTGGGTTGTATTTAACCCAGCATTTTTTTTAGAGTGCAGGAAAGTCAGAATAAAGGCAGTATTTCTTTGAAAATATTTTATATTTTTAACCACCATTTTGTGAAAAATGTCACAAATCTCATAAAAATGTCTAAAATTTTGGCAAATATTGAAGCAAGATGTTAAAAAAATTTTTACACTGGAAATGGAAGGTCAAGCAAGCACATTGCATTGTGGGATACAGTGTGCTCTGTATATACTGCACGTTTTGGCAAATGTAATAGGTCTTCTGTCTATTTTATGCATACAGAAAATGTACACAATTTGCTCCATATACATAATCTATACTGTATACTGAGTTTCTTTTTTCAAACAGACTATTTTGTAGTTTTTCTAGCTGCAATATTATATGGCACTTTATTAATCATACAAATGGAAAAATAAGCATAGAATCCACAATCTATGTCAAACTGAATAATAAAAAAGTAATATAGAATAAACAAAGACAAGCAAAAAAGGTGTACCAGGTGGAAATTAAGGATAAATGCAGGTGCAAACTTGGAAATACAATTGGCTGTTCTGCATTTTTGACCCAATATTGTGCAAAAAAAAAGAAAAAAAAAAGTATTTTTGCAGAGCAAATATTGAGCCAAGAAAGACTGTGGCTTATTCAGTTGTCACACTGAAAATGAAACACACTGAATTATGAGATACAGTGAGCTCTGTTGTACACGGCACATTTTGGAAAATGTAGTACACTGTAAAAAACAAAACAAAAAAAAGATTTTTCCAAGTTGTAAATAAAAGAAAGATTATTGGAGTACATTTTACAATACAATATAATTTCATTCTTTCTGCTTAATGTCACAGTTCTTTGTAATTATTTGTGAAATTTACTAGCAATTTCCGAGTGAAAATTGTTTCAAAGTAATTCCTACACCATTTCTTTTCATCTGTGTATTATATACAGTATATATATAAGAAATGTTCATTGTACTCAATATAATATAATTGGCAGAAATAGTAAGACTATTCTTGTTTTCAACAAAGCCTATTTTGAGTCTTTCTGGCCATAATATTAAACAGCACTGCTTTTGTCCGGTGTGAGTACAGACACTCAGCATTAATAATAGCACACCTGTTAAATTCATGAACATGAAATCACGCACAGATTTAAGTCATTCATAAAGGCACAAAATCTCTCAAAACCATCATTGGCATCTTACTGTGCTCAGTCACAAAAGCAGTGTGTATTTGAAGTTCATTAAATGTCATGGTGATTGATCAGGAAATGACCCAATTGACCCCGTTTGACCCTCTACAAGAGTCTATTTCCATTAGAATGGAGGAGTCTGGCCTGAGGGTGACCAAACGCACGCTAACAGATGACCAGCAGCTCAATTAAAGAGCGTTTGTAGTGGGTTTGACAGACTCTAGATAACAGTTAATCAATGCATGTCTCTAGCAGTTTTACTTTTACACAGTATTTTATAGTATTCACAGTAGTTTACTATTCACAGTATTTACAGGTTCAATTAGCAGTAACACAACAGATTTATTAAATGCATTTGTTTAACAAAAGACAAAGACATATTTGAAGTGCATGTCTTTTATATATGTACTTTTATAGTTTTTTTTATATAAAAATACATAAGACTGTATTTGCAAAATTTTAATTAATTATAACATTCAGACAAGTGATTTTGGATATTTGGCAGAAATTTAAGGTGCACAATTGGCTTTAATTATATTTGAGACAATTGAAGCAACAATTAAAGTATAAAATGTTTAAACATTTAATAGACTTCAGTATAAAGTATAAAGTACAACCAGCTGTGCAAACAAACAAACATTTGCATTTAGCAAGTACACGGTTTTTGAGCACCAATGTAAAGTCATTGAGCAGAAAGATTATGTTGCATTTTAAATTTAAAATGGCAAAGAATATAAAGCTTCATGATAAAAATAAAACTGCAAAATATTGTTAGCATTCTGCATGGTCTAAAAACACTCTGAGGTCATTGACCTCTCAAAAGTCCTCATGTAATCCTTCACATAATCAAATATAATAGTCTACATACCAGGAAGGAAAAAATATCACATCACTGGACACTTGAAAAAAGCTAGATAAATAACTAACACATTCATAATATCAAAACTATAATAGTCTATAGTCAGTTCATTATCACAGCAGCAAACTTGACAGAGTACAATAATTATTTCATTCTTTTCCAGAATGCTTGAAACTAAATGCAGTTTAAGCCTAGAACTAGTAGTACAGTTGGATAATAACATATACATGCTTTAGTTTTAGAAATGATATATGCATAAACTTATTGATTCAATTAATTTCAGGACTCTATAGACATGAAATTGAACTAAGAGCTGACCAGACTGGGCCTCTGCTCTATTAGGCAGGCCAAAACCTCACAAAGGTATTACAGGGACTATATTCTCTTCAGCGCAGACTTGGTCTAAACATTCTTTCGGTCTTTTCATTTTTTGGTCCCAATATGATGCGATATGCTTCATCTTTTGTCATACAGACAGACATTGAACATTAGCTCTGTTCAACAGTGAAGTTAGACTCTGACCTGAATGGTGAAAAAAATGAAATAAAAGAAATATTTAGGACCTCTGGGATGATTTAAAAAAAAACCCGAAAACATTAAATAGAAAAAAAATTGAAATAAAATGAAAATAAATATGGATGGTGTAAATGTATTTCTTTACTGAGACGCAGCTACAAAATTAACAGATCGTGCTACTGTGATAAACTGCGCCTACAGCTGGAAATCTGTTATGTGGTTGTGTACTGCCATCTCATGGTGCAATAAGCACGGAGTTTATGTTGCATTTCACTATATATAGACTCTGGACCCATTGAAATGTTCTGTTAACTTCTAAAAGAAACATTAAACAATAAAAACTAAATAAAATGATAAAAAGGTTCAACTTAATATCTATATATAAATCTTATAGGGTATTATAGCCTATAGTATTCTCTCTTTGCATAACACCAAGAGAATATACTTACATCATGTCTGTATTTTTGCCGACCATGTGGCTGTTGTACTCTAGAATGGGAAGGATGCTCTCCTCGTCCTCAGGCACCTGGAAAGGATGATTTTAATCATTAAAAACAGTCCAGACTGAAAGAGTTCACACAGCATAAAAGAAACAAGGGCTATGTGTCACACTTAGATTTATAGACTACTACTACGTGCTTATGCAAGTTCTATGGTGCCACCTAGCTGTGAAACAAGTAAATAGAAATCAAATCAAACCCACCTCCCAGTACACCTCATCATCAAAGCAGTTTTCATCGGACGGGTCTCCCCAGCAGCACGGCAGTCTCAGAATAAAACCTGGAGATACATATATGAGGGTTATTATAGTTCAGTAAAAGTAAAGCCATACAAAAATGTTTTGGACGCTCACCTACTATCGCTCCACCTACGATTCCAAAAGCAAGAGCAACACAAAGACCGGCGGCCTGGAAGCCTCCTTGCGTGGCAGGAGTCCTCTCAGCGTATTTCTCTTTAAAATCGAAGGTGTTTACCAACCTGTTGAGAAAAAGGAATTTGTATCAGCAACATTCACAGTTTTAATATTCAAAAAGACAATTCATATCCAGTAATGCTACTTATTTAGCTGCACTGGCAACATAGGCAGAGGGTGAACCAAGTCCAGGGTAAGGCTAAAAGCAGCCAAATCTATTAACTACAAACACCATAAACCTGTCTTTTTAGGCAAGAACCAGACATGGGTAGGGTTGCCAACTTCAGAAAAGGAAAATAAGGGACATTCGTGGTTTTTCATAGAAAAATAAGGAACAGAATAAGGGGTACACACATGCCTATTATATATATATATATATATATATACAAACACACACAGAGGTATATCTTTTAGATTTGTAATGTTTTTTTTAAATGGAGTCTCTTATGCTCATCAATTTTGCATTTATTTGATCAAAAATACAGAAAAAAAAACTTAATATTGTTAAATATTATTGCAATTTCTAATATTGGTTTCCTATCTTATTATACTTTAAAATATAATTTATTTCTGTGACGCAGCACTGAATTTTCAGCATCATTACTCCAGTCCTCAGTGTCACATGATAAATAATTCTTATTCTGATTTATTATCAGTGTTGAAACTGTTGTGCTGCTTAATATTTTTTTGGGATGCCTTAAATACGGGACGATTCCGTATTATACGGAACGGTTGGCAACCCTAGACATGGGTGTCATGTAGGCTAATAAAATATTTTTAATGGGACTGAACTTCTTACTTACATTGTACGTACATCTGCGCTTTGTTGTTTATGACGAGAGAATTCGCGGAATTCAGTCATCGAACGTGCGCGCATTCAACAAAGCTGATGAGTTTCAGCAATGACTCATTCTAAACGCGCTGATTGGCCATTGCATTCCTAAGCGCAACAGAATCGTGTGTGATTGGTTATAATGCGCAACACTGTAAAAACGCCTAAAATGAAATACGGTGCAACATGAGCAAATCTTAATTCAATGCGCAGTCGACACTTTCTATTCATTTACACTTTGTTAGCAACAGACGTAATAGATATAATTTGTTTTTGCAGGGACATTTTTGTCCAATTTAGTGGCATTTTTGCCACAAGACCCCGTGGCCAGGGGAAGACTAATAAGCCTTACACACGCTCCGCCTATGACTGGCAATATGGCCTGAGAGAGAGAGAGAGCGCAAAATTTGAACTGAATTGAGCTGGATAATGACATTAACGTGGCAACATCAATGCTGTTACTGCACTGAATCTGAATTGAGCCGAATAATGGCACTATTGTCTTTTTAGAGCTGCTTTTTTTCTGTTGCAATAGCCTACAGAGATTTTGATCTCAAAATACATAAGCTCAAATGTATTTATTTACTTATTTATTTTTAATTTTCAGCAATTTCCCCTACTTGATAATAATCCATGCATCGGGGTTCACTGTTTTTTACGGTTTAACATGAAGCTGCCTTGAAATATATAAATAAATGTGACTTGAATTGAACAATTGAAGCCACTTTGTACGATTTAAAATTGAATATCACCAAACAGTTTGGAGCCACACTCACCCTTCATGTCCGTAGACGCTCTCACTGGCAGTAGCCGCTGTGATGGCACCCACAACTCCTCCCAGGACGCCGGGCATGGCGTGCAGGTTATGGATGCCACATGTGTCTTGAATCTTCAGGTACTTCTCCATGAAGGGCTGCATGGAAGAAAAAAAACAGATATAAATCAATCTGCTCTCACATGGCATATGATGCTCAAATGCACCTGCTCTTCGGTCAGACTCACAGTGATCACCAGGTAGCCAAATGTGGAGATTATCCCGCAGATGAAGCCCACGATGAGAGAACCGTACGGTGAGATCATAAATTCGGCCGCTGTTCCCATGGCGACTCCCCCAGCCAGAGTTGCATTCTGTATATGCACCTGAGTTGCACAAAGCATGTTACGAATTGTATTATCAGAGATACTAGTTTTATTGATATTTTAAATGTATATTTTTTTATTTTCATTTTAGTTAAAGTGTGTATTGTCTTTAGTCCTTCATGTTAAAGTAAATGAAAAATGTTGAATGCTGAAGCCAAATAAGTAACTTTTTTTAACGGTTTTAGATTAGTTTGAGTTTTAGTTAACTATACAAACCCTGCTGCAGATGTAATTGTGACGTAATGAAGTGCTGTAATTTACCATGTCCAGTTTTCCCTTTCTGGCTGAAAGGCTTGATATGGCAAATGCAGTAAGGACTGAAGCAGCCAGAGCAAGGTAGGTGTTTATGGCGGCCCGATGTTGTCCGTCTCCATGATCTGCGATGGCAGAGTTGAAACTGGGCCAGAACATCCAGAGGAAGAGGGTGCCTGTAAGAGGAAACATTTGTTTGAAAGCAGCTCATGTACAATCTTATCACAAGCATCTATGTAATGTATAAGAAGTCACTTACCAATCATAGCAAAGACATCAGAGTGGTAGACCGATCCGTTCAGACTCTTGCTTAGTTTCGGTCGATAAAGAATCCACGATATTGTCAGACCGTAATATGCTCCGAAAGTGTGGATGACCATGGATCCGCCGGCGTCCCGAACCTGTGAAGAGTAAGAACAGTTTGTCAGAATTTCTTGATTTGGGTATAGAAATATTCAGGACTTGGGGATGGTGGATATTCACCAGGGTTGTTATAATTCATTCAAATGAAAGCTTTTAAAACTATTAAGTTAGAAATCTATTTCAGTTAGTTGCCACGGCAACATTTCAAATTTTCATTTATTTTTTTTATTCATCATTACTTATTTGTTAAGCATTAAAATGACTAATTTGAAATAAAATAAAAAAACTTAACTGAAACTAAAATTAAAACCTTTTGAAAGCATTTTGTTAACTGAAATAAAGCTGAAATGAACTTAAACTCATTCAGTTATTTTCCAAGGCAAGACAATAAAAAATAAAATAATTCACTAAAAATGTAGCAGTTAAGTGCAAAAGATCTGAGTTAATATGATGTTAATGCAAGTTAAAGGTTCCATTAACAAGCTTGTGTAATACAAAAATAAATAATGTAATTGAAAATTAAAATTTAAAGTTGTACTAATTTAATCTTTGAGTTGGATATTCACCAGGGTTGTTATAATTCATTCAAATGAAAGCTTTTCAAACTATTAAGTTAGAAATCTATTTCAGTTAGTTGCCAAGGCAACATTTCTAATTTTCATTTATTTTTTTTATTCATCATTACTTATTTTTTAAGCATTAAAATGACTAATTTGAAATAAAATTTAAAAAAAACTTAACTGAAACTAAAATTAAAACCTTTTGAAAGCATTTTGTTAACTGAAATAAAGCTGAAATGAATTTAAACTCATTCAGTTATTTTCCAAGGCAAGACAATAAAAAATAAAAGAAATAATTCACTAAAAATGTAGCAGTTAAGTGCAAAAGATCTGAGTTAATATGATGTTAATGCAAGTTAAAGCTTCCATTAACAAGCTTGTGTAATACAAAAATAAATAATGTAATTGAAAATTTAAATGTAAAATTGTACTAATTTAATCTTTGAGGCTTTTAACTTTAGAAAAAGGATGTAACTGATACCTACAGTTGAGTTAACACTAGGGTTGCAAAAAGTTGGAATATTTCCAGTAAATTTCGGAAACGTTCCAGAAATTTTGGAAACGTTCCAGGATTTTTTTTTGAATATTCCAGGGATTTTTGGAAATTTTCCACCCCTTTGCAACCCTAGTTAACGCTTTAGGGTTTAGAGCTCTCTTGTAATTTCTGGTGAAGCGAAGAGAAGATCTGTTGGGAGAAGCTCTCTTGTAATTTCTGCGTCGGGTGCAGCTGTATTTATAGCCGGTTATCTAAAGGTGTGTCTCTGCTCTGCAGGTGTACCTTCTGGAAATGAAATCCGGGTGGCCATGACACTCACCTGACCAGACTGATCAATATCTGCTCTGGTGTCTGTCTGTTTTTTTTCTCTTTTTGAAGATGTCACACTAGTCTTACTGGACTTAATTATAATTACACTTGGACTATTCAGAACAACTTTGCAACTGCAAGTCATCTTTGCACTTTTTTGTTATGGATTTTTGGACTTTTGGAAGGTTTTTGAACTGATTTCGATTGCTGTGCATATCCGAACCCTCAAAATCAGGAAAATCAGGGCAAACACGTTAATGACTAAGAGTAGGAAACTGTCAGTGCATGTTTTGTAAAAAGGGATTAATTTCTTTTTATGATGCTTTATTGCTTTTGTTCTACAGGGCAACTTCTTTTGAGTATCTGAATAACCTTTTAACTCATGCAAAGAATCTGCGTGATTCCTGATCATCTGATTGTAAGTCAAACTCTACATGCATATTTGACATGATATTCTGAGCAGTTTTAGCAGTGACCAGACGTTTAAACAACACTTCCCAGTACTTCTATCATAATTCTTTCATCCAGTATGAATGAATTCATGTAAAATATATCTAGAAAAAAAAAAAGGAACAGGTCAAGGCAAAAACATGATGAAGAAAAAATAAAATAACTTAAATAAAAAAACTTAACAGAAACAGCAATCAGTTGCAAAACCTATAAATGTTCTCTCATACATACAGGATATCCTAAACTGATGTTGCATAAATTAAGTGATGTTGCCATTATTTTATTTTTCTACATGAAAGAGAAATTGCACTTTTTACAAAATCTATTTTTTAATCTTCCTTTTTATCTTAGAGAAAAAAAAGTGAGCATGACTTTAATAGTTATGATCAAGCTTCTTTTGCAGGCAGTCAAGTCCTAAGTCATAAGACACATGCAAATGGCCAATACCTCAATGATTGACAATGTTCTCTGTTGGGTACATACCAGATATTATCAGCGTTTTCTGAAGTAGCTGAACTGCTGTGTTACATAATCGAATCACCTGTATCTGCTCTATTCATTATGCAAAAACTGAGGCTTCATGATAAATTCAACTTAACACAAAATTGTACATCTCAAAAAGATGTTGTCACATTAAGGGTCAAGGGACATAACCAAACCTTAGTGAACATAAAGCACTTTTCACCTTCGGAATATATTGCATATCTGAGGACAGCAGTCACTTAACTGAGGCATTACAAAATCATCAAAATTTGTATAGCATGCTAATTTTGCCATATTTGATGCAAGCTATTTTTGTATAGACCAACACTGTCTGCGTTTTTATTTTGACATCAAAAAAAAAACAAAAAACGTATTTTTGCAATTTGCATCATCCATTTAACAAGATACACTATTACCTATTAATGTATACTACTTTCCACTTTGTCAAATAACAGTAAAATGATAAAAACTGTGAAATAGCACCACATTTACATTTTTACATTTAGCAGATGCTATTATCAAAAGCGACTTGAGGTTGAAAAACAAGTAGTTACCAAAAATGTTACAGAAGTGCATATAAGCAATTTATATGAGTACACAAAATTAATTTCAAGCATTTAATCAGAAACCTTCAAGAGATCAGAACAGACAAATCGATCTTGTCCAAATTTTTCCCTGATAGTATATTAAGTAATTTGTCTTGCATCCCAAAGTCAGTCTTACGTCTAGACAATAAAAAGGAGGTGTGTGCATATCGTCATGCTTGGCTAGAGAGCATGTGGCTCTCGCAGGGCTTCTGGAGGTGTGTTTAGAGAACATGCGACAGTAAGTGTGGCTCTTAGATCCTAATCAGGACGACATTCCAAGGATAACAGGAATCACATGACCATGCCTGGCCTTTGCGATCTGTCACCAGGACATTCCATCACTGGCGACATAAGGATATCTATCACATGATCCACTGTCAATCAGAGACAAGTCAACCCTTCAGTAATGTACAGCTGATTCGACATGAAGATAACATTTGATTTTCAGTGCAGTGATCACAATTGGTGAGCAAAAGAGATATATACTGCATATACTCGTATAGCAAAGTGCAATGATGTTGCTTCGCGCAGTTTCTCCCAAGTTCAGATAAAAAGGAATCAATAAGGTTAACTGTGGTTCATATCACAACCTCTTATGACCCAGATATGAAAGTAAAAGCATCTTACAAAACCATCAAAAGCAAATTTAGAAACCATCTCGTTATAAATCCTCTCAGTGACAAGTGGAGTGAGGTCCATTTGTCAAAAAACACACCCACTTCCTGGGAAGAGAGGCTTGGCGGAAATAGACATGCTTGGATTAAGATCAGATCTTGAAGATCTTGACTTGCGGCCGGTCAAATGGCCTAGAGGATTTTGACTTTCACAATCTGTTCTTTTGTAGCTGAGCCACAAAAAAGAGGAGGATCTGGAATGTTGAGCTGCGAAGCGAGCCGTCAACGACGAGCAAGTGTGGAGGAATTTCAGCTAGTCATTTATCTCAGTCTAAGTGAGAACGCTGCTGTTACATAGACGACAATTAACTGATAGTCATGCTGATAGTAATAGTTATGAGCAGTATATGTAATGTGTCGTGTGCTTTGGCATGTGATGCCACTGATCCATCACCATGCTAAAATCTTCAGAGAGTTGTCATGATTGAAATACAGTTATATAATGAATATGGGCTTAAAGTGCACACTCAGATCTTTAATTTGAGAGTATTCACATCAAAATTGGAGGAAAGGTTAAGGAATTACATCTCTTTAATATGTACCTCCCCCCTTTTTCAAAGGGACCATAAGTAATTGGACAGTTGACTCAAAAGCCATTTCATGGACAGGCGTGGGTTATTCCTTCATTATTTCTAAATCAACTAAGCAGATAAAAGTTCTGGAGTTGATTCTAAGTGTGCCATTTGCATTGGGAAGCTCTTGCTCTGAACCACATCATGCGGTCAAATCAAAGGATCTCTTCATACAAGTGAAACTGACAATTGTTAGGCTTCAAAAACAAAACAAATCCATCAGAGAGATATCAAGAACATTAGGAGTGGCCAAACCAACAGTTTGGTACATTCTGAGAAAAAAAGAACATGAAAAGGCCTGGATGTCAACACAGGGCAACAGTGGTGGATGATCTGAGGATCCTCTCCATGGTAAAGAAAAACCCTTTCACAACGTCCAGCCAAGAGAAGAGCACTCTCCAGGAGATAGACGTGTCACTGTTAAAGTCTACAATCAAGTGAAGACTGCACGAGAGCAAATACAGAGGGATCACCACAAGGTGCAAACAAGACCAGATTAGACTTTGACAAAAAAACATCTAAAAAGCCAGACCATGTCTGGAAAAGCATTCTTTGGATGGCTGAAATTAAGATCAAACTGTACCAGAATGACGGGAACAAAAAAGTATGGAGAAGGCTTGAAACAGCTCATAATCCAAAGCATACAACATAATCTGTGAAACATGGTGGAGCAGTGTGATGGCATGAGCATGATGGCTTCCAGTGGCACTGGGTTACTTGTGTTTACTGATGACGTGACAGAGGACAGAAGCAGCCGGAAGAATTCTGAAGTGCACAGGGATATACTGTCTGCCCAGATTCAGTCAAATGCAGCAAAGTTGATTCATAGTACAAATGGACGATGACCCAAAACATACAGCAAAAGCAACCCATGAGTTTTTGAAGGTAAAAAAAGTGGAATATTCTGCAATGGCCATGTCAATCTCCTGATCTCAACCCGATTGAGCTGCATTTCACTCGCTGAAGACAAAACTAAAGGCAGAAAGACCCACAAACAAAAAACAACTGAAGTCAGCTGCAGTAAAGGCCTGGCAAAGCAGCACAAAGGAGAAAACCCAGTCTTTGGTGATGTCCGTGAGTTCCAGACTTAAAGCAGTCATTGCCTGCAAAGGATTCTCAACCAAATATAAAAAAATGAACATTTATGATTATATTTATTTGTCCAATTACATTTGAGCCCTTGAAAATGGGGGGACTGTGTATAAAAATGGTTGTAATTCCTAGGAATTTTATGTTATATTTTTGTTCAACCCCTTGAATTAAAGCTTAAAGTCTGCACTACAATTACAATTTCAAACTCTTTCACTACAAATATTGATAGTTTCATTTTAATTATATTCTGGTGGCATACAGAGCTGAAATGATGAAAATTGTGTCAGTGTCCAAATATATATGGACCTAACTCTGTGTGTGTGTGTATATATATATATATATATAAATACACACAAACGCACACACATATCATATATATATACACATACTGTAGTTATGTATATATATATATATATATATATATATATATATATATATATATATATATATATATATATACACACAGTATGTGTGTGTGTGTGTGTGTGTGTATATATATATATAAATACACACAAACGCACACACATATCATATATATATACACATACTGTAGTTATGTATATATATATATATATATATGCATGCTGACCTGGATCTGTTGAAGTGGTGCTGGGATAATTGCCATGGCTCTGGGCTTGTAATGCAAATGTTACAGGTTCACTCATCATTAAGGCTGACCTGTGAACTATAGAGGAGCTCTGAGGGAATTCTGTCACTGTGACATGCAAAGTGGTGAAGATTAAGTCTCTGCTCCTCCTCTACACTACTTCTACATGCAGTTTCACACGTTTTTCAATCGTCTGCCCAGTGCAGGCCTTGGCTTTTGCTGTGTTCCTGTCATTGTGATTTATATTTACAGAAACTCTGAGTGACAATATGTTAAAATAATGAAATAAAATAAATCCCATTATTACAGACGTTTCGAGAACTAAATGCATTTCAGGGTTCATACTTTTATGACAAATGAATTTACATGACATTTCCATTCATGCATGATTACAGGACAAGGTGTTTAATTATCGTTTTGTTTTTTTTTATTGAGAAAGCACACATTTTTTACATAACTACAATTCTAATTCATTCTATGTTTAATTTCATTTAGTACATGCTTTCATCTAAAGCGACTTACAAATGAGGAATACAACAAGCAATTCATCAGAAATAAGATGAATAAATATTCATTGTAGAAATTTAGATGACTTTTCCAAGTCTGGAATTCACACTTTTCCCTGGATTTTAACCCTGGGTCTTGTAAGAACTGGGTCTTGACAGTTCTTGTAAGAACAAATAATTAAAACAAGAAATTTGTCTTGACTTTTAGCTGTTTCAGCTTATTTTAAAGCTTGTTTTGTCTTATTTTAAGACAAAATAACAGTTTTCACTCAGAAATGGCTACTGGCAAGAAGTAGAAAGACTAAAATAATATTTTCTTTTAAAACATTTTTTTTTTTTTTTTGTATCCGACCTACAGCAAACTTATCTGTGATATGATTCAGAATGACTATATGTCCAGCAGCATTTTCAATTGCATGTGAACAAAAACAGCCAATCAAAGGTCATTTGAAACATATCTATCTAAAACACTGAAAGAATTCGCTATAGGCACTTCCACCCAATTCTTTGAAACGCCCTTTGTAGAAAGGTGCCCTGCTACATACCTGACAAGCCCATGAGGTCTTAACCCCCTGTAAGGCTGATCATCCTGTCAAACATTTAGCGGGGAACCATTCATTAATGTACCCTTCAAACTCAAGTCATATCTTAAAGGAATAGTTCACCCAAAAATGAAAATGTGCTGAGGATTTACTCACCCTCAGACCAGCCAAGATACAGATGAATTTGTTTCTTCATGAGAACAATGAGATTTGGATAAATTTAGCATTACATCACTTGCTCACCAATGGATCCACTGGAGTGAATGGGTGCCGTCAGAATGAGAGTCCAAACAGCTACATCACAATAATACACAAGTAATCCACACCACTCCAGTCCATCAATTTATGTCTTGTGAAGCAAACATCTACGTGTTTATAAGAAACAAGTTCGTCATTCAGATGTTTTAAACTTTAAACCATTGCTTTCAGCTAAAATATGAGTCCTCTATCCACAATATTGCTTTTTCTAGTGAAAAAGGTGTCTCGTCTGAATCAGGAGAAATAAATGCACAGTTTACAAGCAAAAACAATCTTAAACCATTTTAAACAAATATGCTGGTGGATTTTGATGACAAGAGGACAACAGGGGATGAACTTTAATAGACTTTCAGTAGAGAAAGCATTAGGATTATGGACCCATATCTTGGCCAGAAGTAATGGTTTAAAGTTAAAACACCTTAATGATGGATTTGTTTCTTAAAAAAACCTGCAGCTTTTCCCTTCACAGGATGTTAACTGATGGACTGGAGTGGTGTGGATTATTGTGATGTTTTTATCAGCTGTTTGGACACTCATTCTGACGGCACCCATTCACTGCAGAGGATCCATTGGTGAGCAAGTGATAAAATGCTACATTTCTCAAACATTTCAGCAAATTTTCAGTTTTGGGTGAACCATTCCTTTAACTGTGGTTATGTAACCCCTAACCCATATGGCGGGGAGTGTCGTGAGGAAGCAGGCGCTCCATGCGGGAATACCAGCAGACCTTTCAAACAGTATTTGTTGCAATGTGCGGCTGTGTCACGAGATGTCCCAGCTGACACTCAACATGTCACACTGGCATGCTGTTTAACGCATCAGGATCATCAGTGTCATGCTCTCAGAACACCGATGACGTCTTTCAGGCTCCATAAATTAAACTTGGGGTTTCTGTATCAAACACACTGCAAAGCAATTTTAAAAGACAAAAAGGAGGGAAAGCACAATTATTCACCCATCTTTAATAAGCAGTACTCAATCTTCATTTATCTCATCACATAACTAAAGCATTGATTGTGCTGTGCCAAGACGACCTGATATAAATCAGAATGCTTTTATTCTGACTGTCGAGCACGTGGAAATAGTTTCATTCAAGATGCTGGCTCGTTGTTCCTCAAATATGTGCCACTGTCTCCAAATGTGTCACACACATGGTTGCACTTTAAATATTTGGAAAAAATATATAAAACCTAACAAACGCCGTTTTGCTAAATGCATAAATAAATGCATGGCTTGATATTTTGTTATTTAATGTTATAGTATATTGCATTTGTGCAGACTGCAGTGTGAAGTTTCAAAACGTTTCAATTTTTCACTGAATAAATTTTACAACTTGCATATTAGTTTTTTTCATACATCACACTTTATTAATCCATATTGAGCTTTTTTTTTTTATACAAACGTAAAAACACTCAAATAATGATTTTTTAAAGTTTAAATGAGCAGTCTGAGTGCACTGAAATGTTATGCTTTCTTAAGATCATAGCACTGTTCTGGACTCACATTTATTAGGCTGAGCTTGGATTATCTGTGACACTTTTTTGAATAATCACGGATCATGGATCAGCAGAAATGAAAAAGTGTCATATGATAGCTCAAAAAACATCATGCAAACAGTTTCTGTCATGCAAAGGGTTAAAGCCTTGTGCAGGTTGGTCTGTGAGTCATATGTCATTTGTCATATCTTCTCCTTTGTCTCCTTTATGCCCAGGGCAGGTAAAACACATGAACAGATAGACACGCCTTTTCACACCTGTGTGCCTCAGAGTCCTGCTGTGCATTAAGCTTCAGGAACATTGTTTATGGAATTAAGTGCAAATTCAAAGTTTCGTGACAAAACTGCAGCACTGCAAGAACACCGCTTGTCAGTAATACAGTAATACATACCCAAACAGCCAAATGTATATTTGTTGGAGTGGAAAAAAAAGCTAAGTTCCTTCTCATATTAGATGATACATAGATGTTAGCATAGGCTACTACTGAAAAGTTTGCATTTGGTTCAGTTTTGTATGTTTTTAACGTCTTATGCTCATCCAGACTGCATTTATAATATTGTGAAATATTTTTACTATTTAAAATAACTGTTTTCCTTGTGAATATATTTTCAAATGTAATTTATTCCTGTGATGCAAAGCTGAATTTTCAGCATTTTCAGCAGTCTTCAGTGTCACATGATCCTTCAGAAATCATTCTTATATGCTATCAATATATAATTATCAATGTAGAAAACATTCGTTCTGCTTAATATTTCTGTGAAAGAACAGCATTATTTAAAACAATTTTTGTAACATTATAAATGACTATGCGGTGACTTAATTTAAATGTGTACTTGCTAAATAAAAGTCGTTATTATTAATAATTGTTCTTAAGTTTATTTACAATATTTCCATACTATAAACAGTACATTTACAGACTTGTGTTCATGCGGTCATATGTGTCATCTGCAAAAAAATTATAATTAATTCATTTTTTAAACATCAGGATTTCACAAATAAAACCATTTGAAAGGCCACATTGCACAGCATTCAGGAGTATGTGTATAAAATCAAACATTCTTAATTATAATCTGCTCTTATTAACAGTACTCTGTCAGAAGGCGCTGATGGTGCGCTTTACTGTATATGCAGATTTGGTTTTTACAACCGTGGCACACAAATTAAAAAAATAAATCTTTGCTTTGGCCTCATCATAAGACAAGCTGTACTTACATGTGAGCATGTGTGAGCGTGTGTGTGTGTGTGCGTTTTACTGACATAAAGCATACAGATCTGCCTTTAGTTTGCGAAATGAGGGTCGATTTCTCGGATCGTACTGCCAGCACTGACACATGAGGGCATAGATTTCACCTGGACAGTTATTTGGGGCCGGCATACGATATCCTAAAGACAAAAACAAGACTTATATACAACACTTGCTTTGTAAACAGGCAATACACCTCAGTTTTATGCATGTGAAGTACCTCTCTCCACCTCGTCTCTGGTCTGTTGGTTATTCATGTTATGCGGGATGGAATATGGTGTGACTCCTCTGGAGAAGGTCTCCCACAGCAGCACTCCGAAACTCCACACATCACTCTCTGTGGTGTATCGCCCTGATGAACCAGCAGAGGACAGCGTTGAGACACAAACCCCTCAGTCAGGGCCAGGCAAACACAATGCAGGCTAGTTCAGGATACTGATACAGGTGCCTCATATCTGACTGGCAGGATTGTCTAGAACAGGGTTTCCCAAACTGGGGTTCATAAGGGGGTTTGTGAGTTAATGAAACGCTAATGATCAAATTGAATGTAAAATACGGCTGCACAATTAATAAAAATAAAACGAAATAAATAAACGAAATAAATTGCGCTATAGCTTAGTGACTATCAAATCAAAGGCTACAATTAAATTAAATTAAATTGGTGCATAGTCTTTTGCACTGCTAAGGTTTACAACATTTCACCAGCATTCTGTCAAAACAAAAACGTGAAAATTTGAAATGGAAGAATTTAAGACAAATATCAGTATTGCAACTTGCAGTGTGAATAAAATAATTATTAGGCCTATAAATGTCAGCGTTGTAAAAATGCACTCCCTATTCATGTTGACATATCAGATCAGAATTTTTTTTTTCTTTTTTACACATTTTTAAGGTGTGCATGCTAGGGGTTGCACCGACTAATCGACTTCAGTGCTCTGCCATGATGCTTTAAGCTTAACGTCGACTAGTCGCTGGTCCTATAGAGGGCGCAACAGGATAAGAAATCTTTGAAGGACTTCCACATTTACGCTCCGTTTCCAAACAGTTAAAATGACAAATAAATGCATACTCTGAAAGCGCTCCACAAGACATGTGAGATTATATTACTGGATGCTCGAAATTGAACGGGAGAATGCACGTTTTAAACAGCTTATTGTACAGGTAAATTAATCGCCGTTCTAATCTAATGCGCTGCTGAACTGTAACGCACACACATAGGCTTCAGACACTAGCGCGTACAGTTCATCTCGCGCAGATCGCGTGCACGCAGAATCATTCAGCGCGGAAATGTATTGTCAACACTGTTCTGTGATTTCTCAATAAAATAGCTTAGAAACTGAAAAGTTCAAGCATATATTTCTTAATAACCAAATCCCACAGCTTCACTTCTAGTAGAGAGACGTTGTCAGGTAGAATTAATTCACACACGCAATCGCTCTCACTAATGCACTCATATGAATGTAATCTTTACTGTGCTACGTTATCTGTATCTGATTTAGAACGAGCAGAAATCTGAGAAATATAACGACATAAAGACAAAAGAACTGATAAAAATGAGCTGTTATAGGAGCAACATCCCTGTGGGCAGCGCTGTGTCATATGCCATAGCTGTGCACAAGGTGTTTGTCTCAGCTCCAGACTTATTTGTTCATTAATGACGTCATCAGTGACTAGTCGACTTCGACTCGACTTTCATCACATAAAAGTCGACTTTAAAAAATCAGAAGTCGTTCAACCCCTAGTGCATGCATACTTCTACTACTTACACATCTTCACAATTCATTTGTTAATTATTTTATTTGTTCAGGTTTTTGCAGTACTCAATCTAAAGTTGAAACTATTCATCATTTGTAAATGTTTACTATTAAACATTTCGTATCTTTATGGGAATTCGACTTTTAGCTGCTGTAACAAAGTGTGAATAAAAGGTGATCAGTTGTTAGTATGTTTATTCTTAAGGCAAAAACAACGACCATACATAATAGCAACAAGAACAGCATTTTAAGAGAAAACTTTTGGGTTTACGGATTACAGATTTATGATAAAATATGAGGTTACATTTTATTTAAAAAAATAACTTTGAAACTATATGTCAACTAACTCTCATTAGACTATTAGTAGACTGTTTTGAATTAGGGTTAGTAGAATAAACCGACGTGTACTTGCAAAGTCACCTATAGTCAGTAAAAGTCTGTTGGTGAAACATCAAAAAGTCTTAGTAGATATTAAGCAGACAGTCTACTATTACTCTAAAGATTAGTAGTTGACATCCTTTTTAATCATGTAATGTTCAAGTTTATTAGTAAACATTTACAAGCACATTACCTCATACATGTAAATATATATTGTTACATCTGGAGACGTATTTCTCTCTCTTCATCATCTAACTAATGATGTTAAACATCATATAATATTTGTTAATGATTTATAAATTAGTTATTATAAAGTGTTACCAATAATGTAACTTTTTTTATTCTAACAATTTACAACCATTTTTTTATCTAACAATATTTATTTGTTTAATCAAAATAAAGAAAAGACGATTTTTTAAAGCTGACTTGTATTTCTTACTGGGCGTCAGAACCATGAACATGTGCATATGATTGCATTATATTATTGAAATATCACCTTAAAATCTCAGGGGGTACTTAAATCAAATATTTTCATCTAACAAAAAAGTTTGTAAACCCCTGGTCGAGTATTACCATAATTGAGAGCTTCTGGTGCTGTCCATTTGACTGGGATCTGCTTCATTCCTCCTGTAGCAGAATAAACCCCATCCTGCTCCTGACGAGACATACCGAAATCACTGATCTTCACCACGCTCTCTTCTCCGACGAGACAGTTACGGGCAGCCAGATCTCTGGAGACGGGGAGAATTAGAGAGGTTTATTGTAGGTTGCTCTGAAATAAATGTAAACGCACAGAAAGAGAAAGCCTGAAGGAGACAAATATAAAACAAGCTAACAAAAAAAAAACAACCAGAGCAAATTAAAAAGAAAGAATAGGAATGACAGACAGAGAAACAGAAAGTGCACTGGCTGTATGGGAACTCAATCCTCTCTAGAGACACTGAAGCATGAGGGAAACAGCCACTATCAGATGCAGCAGTGAGGTTTCATTTCTTCTCAGCTCATTACCCCACAATCTTCCCATCGGGCACTGCTCGTAAACTGCTGGTAAAGAGACTTAAACACAATAGTGAAATACCTTGAGTCTACTTATTAGATTCAATAAAAACCAGCTGTGAGCTCTTTAGGAGGTCTGCTAGAGCTTTATGGATCCACTATAGTTTCTCAGCATTGATCCTAAGATTTCATTGTCTTTCTGTCCTTATTTCATTGTCAACTGCTCACCGATGAATGCACTTCTTGCTTTCCAGGTATGCCATGCCCGACACCACATTCTCTGCCATCTTGATCAACATCTTGGTCTTCAGGTTGTGGCCTTCTGTGCGCAGAAAGGTTAGAAAGTCCCCTCCTGCCAGTAAAATCGGAATAGTTCAACATCATATGATAAATGATTTAACATTTATTAACTTAAAAATATAATATCAATTGTGACCCTCTGCTTTCTACATAAAATCATCCTTCATAAGGTAAAGAACATTATGTGAAAATGTAACATTGATATCTTTATTACTCACTGAGTAAGACCATGTCAAAGATTGAAATCATAGTGAAATTAATGGTTGAAATCAAACTTTGATGCTTGTTATCTCATAATTAGATTTTGAGACTTTACAAACAATTAGTTAAATAAATAATAAATAAATAAAGGTTTCTTTGTGAGTTCCTTTGTTAACGTTTTCTATGTAAATGATATTAAATTAAATAAATACACTATGTTTCTTTATTTTATAACTGTAATCATTTATTATTAATTTAATTGAACAAATATTTAATTATAAAAAATAATATTAAAAACAATATATAATTAATAATGTTCTTATATGAAGTAAATTTTTATAAATAAACAATTACATACATAAATATTTCATAATTTCAACATTTCAATAATATATGAATAATTAAAAAATACAATTTATTGATGATAATGATGACCATTATACACCATATGATTTTTTACATATTTGTTCTTCAATTTATCATACGAGTACTACATTAGGAGTACTTGGAAAATATAACACATGTGGACTGTGTTTATGGTGCTTTTTTTGGAGCTTAATTTAAAGTCCCCATGAAATCAAAATTCACGTTTTTTGGGTGTTAGTATCAATATGTTAGTCTTAAGGTTATCTATAAGGCAGTGTGCTCCAAAACAGTGACAAAATTCACATTTAGAAGATATAAGCATTCAAAGCTTGCAGTTCGTCACTTCCGCCAAAATGGCACAATGATTTTTTTGACGTCACATCGTACTTCAGCTTCTCATCAAACTTTCTGTCCAATCAAATGCTCTCTAGAATCCGAAGCCCCGCCCCCTACACTATAAAATAGACGCTGAAGCCGTGGCTGAAATCGGTCACTTGTCCACAGAATTAGTATTTTCTGTACAGTGAATGGCATGTAGTGCACTATATAGGGGACAGGGAACGAGTCAAACAGTGTAAATATGCTTTCCATTGAGGAAAAAAAGAAGTCTGGTTTGGCGCTGTGTCACGCTAAGCACCGCACCGCACACACACTCTGCTCCGGTCCAGAGACACGATAGCACGGAGCGGATCACATGCGCGAGTCGGCGCAGACCACAAAATGTATCGGAGCTATTTGAATTCTACACAGAATGCTATATTTTATAGCAATATGGATGAGATTGTCCCTGGCATACCCTGTCAAATGCAGCTTTACGGAGCTCAACGGCTCTGAACGGCTCTAGCCCAAGCTGTGATATAAACGAACGCTACTGGCTATTTTAAAAAGGGGCGGGGCTGCTTGATATGTCCCGCCCTGTCTTCCTGTTTCAGTTAAAATGACGTCAACACAGAGTAACGCTGCGTGTTTCTAAGCATTTCAGGGGACCTTTAAAAATTCATACCTTTTGTGTAATTCAAACTGGTTTACCGTTTGAACCGGTATATTGTCCAGCACAAGTGGTGTTTTGTTTTGTTTTTAACCCATTTCACTCAAAACAGAAAGACATTGCAAGCTTACTCATGTAAATTCTTTTTTACTTACTTTTTAACTTAGTCTTAGATAATTAATATAGGTTGTACGGAGATAATTAATCTCAAAAATGCAAAACGCATAAAAAGAAAGATTGAAACACACTACAGAAGTTTAAATATCTGAAGACATTTTAAAATGTAATGTCATAAACTTTGAAAAATTGTTACAGCGAACCAACAAAGTAAGCACCACCAAATCAAGAATAGCAATGCACAGTGAAAAATATACAAGAACGGAATTTTTAGGGCGTGAATATGTTTGCTGACTTATAAAAATGTTCTAAATTTTCTATTTGATCTGTTTTCTATTTTGACATGTCATTTTTTGTCCAGCCCATATATATGTTTATCATTCTGCTATAATCATTGCAATTTCGAGAGTGAATCCTGCATTTAAATGCAGATGTCACAAAACTTTGCAGCATGCATGTGGCCGTTGGTCCTCTAAGCAGCAATAAAAACAAAACTTTTATTCAAATTATGCATTATTAATAATTATTTATAGAAAGTGTACA